CGTTACACACAAGGTAAGAGTAAACCATCTAATTCTCTTTCAACTAAAATGCAATTAAATCCTTACTCCCTTTCTCATGTCCCAAATAACACATTTCAAAACATTTCAGTTTCTGTTGCATTTCATGTTTTACAACCTTATTTCAGTGAAAGAGACCAATTTGAGCAGAGGATCGAAAAGGAGTTGCGACAACAAGGGAAGTGAATGAGTGAGCAATAAAGTGCTTTTTCAAAAATATTTTTTGTGTTTTATTTGCCTACAGTGCTTTAGAAATGGACATGGATCATTTAGGGAATATAGGTATACATTTTGGTGGGGATACAGAATCTGGTTTTATTTTATATTTATTATAATGCATAAAAAGCCAGGTGTTGTGTAATTTTTGTATTATATTAAAACCTTATGAATTATTGACTCTACTCGTCAAAATACAAATAAGTCAAAGTAATTATTGTATTATATTAAATGGACATGGATCATTTAGGGAATATAGGTATACGTTTTGGCGGGGATACAGAAGCCAGGTGTTTTGTAATTCTATTCAATTAAAATTCTATTCAAAGTAATTCTATCTCAAACCTACCATCCCAAACAAAATAATTCTATCTCAAACCTACCATCCCAAACAAATTAATTCTATCTCAAACCTACCATCTCAAACTTACCACAGCCACTTAGGGACTTTATTTTGAAAATCCATTGACCTAAACTTACCACAGCCACTTCCGGCGTATGTCTACCATAGCCTAAATCTACCTCCTCCGAGTCTGCAGCTGGATATTATTGATAGGTTACCTCTAAAATGAAACCAGGAGCTAGCAAACTGAGTTAAAAAACAAACGTCTTTGGGAAGGGAAAAAGGCCCAGCCAGGAGACAGAAGAGGAGCCTACGACTTTCAGGAAAAAGACTTAATAGAGAGTATCAAGAGTCCGACTTAAAATACGGATTTAGCTCAATAGGAAATTCCCACGTGCCAAGCTCACTCTACATAATATGTGGCAATGGTGAGTCGTATATTTGCACGCACTTTCTATTTGCGATGTATCTTATTTTGAAGGCACGTTTAAATAGCGACCAAAAGGTGTCGCAGCCAGATAGGACGTTCCTCGTGTTTATTATGTTTAGAAAAGACCACAGTTTTCATGCAGGTCATGTATTATTTTGTTGTATTTATCCGGCTTTAAAGGCACGTTTAAATGTTACCATAGTGACCAAAGGGTGTTGCGGCCAGATAGGCAGATAGGACGTTCCTCGTGTCATGATTCGTGTTTATTATTATGTTTAGAAAAGACTACCGTTTTCCTACAGGTCATTTATATATTATTTTGTTGTATTTATCCGGCCTTTTAAGGCCGGTCCCTGAAATTATTGTCTGACATTAAACCGCTGCGTGGGGCAAAAAAAAGGTTGGGTGATAAAAACTCCGAATGATAAAAACCAATGACATTTAGACAATACTGTCATTTTCATCCATCCATCCTACAGTAAAAATGGGCTACTGTTAAGATTCTCTCCATAAAGCTGCAAAGACAAAAACAAGATATTAGGATGTACAACTTTTATTCCCCATTTGGTAATTGACATGTTTGAACTTTTTTCATCTTTGCTGAAGTGACTCACTAAACAGGTAACAGCTAATGAGAATATCTTTAGTTGAGTCCAGTTTCCAGGAAACTTTACAGCTCAACAAACACACTGCTCCTTCATTAAGAGTGTGAAATGATGAACAAATTCTGATGGCCCAACCTATGTAACTTTACAGGAGCATGAGAATATCTTTAATTGAGTCCAGTTTCAAGGAAACCTCAGAGCTCAACAAACACACGGCTCCTTCATTAAGTTGTGTGAAATGATGAACAAATTCTGATGGCCCAACCTATGTAACTTTACAGGAGGAAACCTCACTCACATCCCCAATCCTATACAAACAACATAACATGGTTGATATAATTACACCACATAAACCCTGAATTTCAGGTGGTTTGAATGACCCAGTGCCTCCAAAGCCACCGTGTTGTAACATTCACAAGAGTGCTACAAAGTCCTACAATATTCTCTTCATTTAAGTTACAGCTCTTTGGATTTCATCAACTTTTGTTTTCAACTGTCTTCTGGGAGAACTAAATGCACGTGGCCAGTTTGCCCGCATCCTAAGATTTGGTATAAATTGCAAGTGTGGCGACGGTTTGGATGGAGAACTTAAAGGCAGCTGATATGAATGCCAGTTGACTGTATTCCAACATGGTGTCATTTTACTTCTACTAGTAGTTTCCAAGTTCAACAAAAAAAACATGGAGGTTTAAAGCAAAATCCTATTTACAATACACAACCATGTAAGAGCACAGCAAGCGAACACACACGTCAGAGGCTCGAACCAGTGCAAACACCCGAGCCTCCGATGCAGAGTCACATCAGCCAAAAACCTTTAGCTACAGGGCTTGTGACATGTTTTTAGCAGATACAGAGTGCAACCTGAACACCATTTAAACGCGATACTTCTTTTTCAACTGATCCATGAATGAAGGATTTGCTTCAAATCCTTGAAGGTCTACTACAACAACAACAAGTAAAAAGATGGCATTTCACTTGAAATGTTTCTCCTTCTGAAGATAATCTGACCCATGTAAACTGAAAAATTGACTATTTAATGCAACCTTTTTCCAAACATTAAATATTTTCTCTTTTCGAGGGGGTGGGGGATTCTTTGTTTTCTTTTCAAGTATTATAATGATATGATCATCACAAAAAAGCTTTTCTTTGCTGTTACTTCACATCTGGATGCAACACAAATAAATAGTTGAGAACAATCATAAAGCTTATTTCATTTACAATGGCTTCCTCTTACCCACACAAGTAAGGCAATCAAAAAACATGACTCGAGAACAATGGTTAATGGGTAGCTGGATAAATGGGAGGAAAGAGCTCGTCTACGGAGTGAGCCTCTTGTTTCTCTATTTGGGGGCTAACGGGTTGTCGGGGGTCGTCGGAGAAGTCACTTCCTTGTAAAAGTTCTCAATCTGCTCTTTGTACATTTTGGACACCACAGGCCGCTTCAGCTTCATGGTGGGACCTGCGGAAAAGGGACAGAGCGTCATATCCAGCGATTCTTTTAAGGTCGCAGGTGAGCTGAAGTCTATCCTGGCAGAATTCCCAATCGGCACGGCACAGTGCGCCTTAATATATTTCATGCTCAATGTGTGTATAAACGAGCCAGCCTTCAACAACAAATTGTTTGAAAAATCAAAAAAAAAAACAAAAAAAAAAACACATGCTGTCGTTACCCCCCCCACCCCCAGTGCAATAGACTCATTCATAAAAATGACCATGCAAGAATGGCTGAACAGCAAACCGACATTAAGCACAAAAACTCATTTTGTGCGTTTTTTTCACAAAAATCAACACACCAAAATGTTAACATAATTCAGTTCTTAAATATGTTTTTCCTGCATGTCATTCAAACCCCCCTCCCCCCAAAAGTCCTACACAGATTATGGAATAGGGCAGTATAAAACACGGTATAAGCTCTTCTAAACCATGTCTGCCATCTAGTGGTGAATTGTGATATTACAACTAAAAATTATACAAATTATACACACGAATAGTGAAAATCTGTTTATAATTGACACCCATTGAAACGCATTAGACTTTTTATTTGAGACCCCCCCGAAAATTCTTCAAAAAACTTCTTATAATTACAATATGCATTTTTCCATTAAAAATGAAGTTTGCCCCCAAATGAAAAGTTTTATTTAAAAAAAAAATAAAAATCTGCAAATGCTGCGAGTATATGGGGGTCCACTGTAACAGACCAAACATGTAAATAATCCAGACCTCCAACAATAAAAAAAGATACACAAAAACACACCCTTTTTTTTTTGCTACTCAAGGGTGTTGCCCAGCCCTGAATTAGAGGCTTCAACCAAGCAAGCGTGCATGTTATAGAGGACAGCGTGTGCACACACTTCCATTGAGGCGGCCACGACTTACCCAGCTCCCCTCCGACGATGGAAAAATCCTGCTGGAGAATGTACCATTTCTGTACACGCTGAGCGTTGGAGGTGGCTCTCTCGTTGACGCGGTTGATGCCCTCCTGGATGGCCGCGTTGACAGCTCGATCACGGCCGCCCGCCAGGTCTGAGACGCGGGTGGCCTTACTGCCCAGTTTCTTGCAGATCTCCACGGCCTCTGGAGTAAGCTCGTCCAGCGGGGCACCGTCACCGTTAACCTCGCACTGGAGGGGAAATCTTGGGTTAGATGTTTGTTTCTTAGCACTATTAGTCACAACTAGAGCGAGGCAATTCAGCTATTTTATCAGCTAGTTAATTTATCTGGATGCTTTTTTTATTTATTTATTTTTTTGCTGCCTCAATAGTAAAATGTTTTGACTACTGGTAGTCGAGACAATTGTCAAGAAGAACATTTCTGTATTGTAAAAAATAACAAAACATTTGATAACTATTGTCCACTTCATGTTAAAAAGGATTTGAGGAACATCGGACAGGACATCACTGCCTGCAATGAATTTGACTCCATCCATCCATTTTCAGATCTGCTTTTCCTTATGAGTGTCGCGGGCGTGCCGTCCCAGCTGTCTTCGGGCAGAAGGCCGGGTGTGCACCCTGAACTGGTTGCCAGCCAATCGCAGTGAATTTGACTCGCTTTTTCCTAACCGAGGTCATTGCACAACGGCGAGTATTGCTGACTTAAGTCTGTATATTATCAAGTATCAAGTACAACTTTATTGTCAAATGTGCTGTATGTGCAACAGATGGAATTTCTTCCCTCTCACCATCAAAAGTTATATGAGCTGTATATTAAATATTAGCTGAAGAACAAAATTTACAAGGTTCCTCAAAGAATAATTGACAGATTCTATTTGCATTTTTAAAAATGAACACAAACATTAGATTAGGACAGAGGCCTTAAAACCTTGGAATATCTGTAATTTTGTATGTCACGCCCATGGCATTTGCCATCATTATTGAGGCACATTTTGATGTACAGATTACTCCACTTTACTAAGACTGTATTCTTTATGCATTGTTGTTCATATATGCTGTTCTGTTTTTCTACAATCTCTAGCGTGAAACGATAGAGCATATTCACGTAGTCTGCAGCCTAAAGTTTGCTGGTCGCCCGTTACCGTAAATATTGCTACCGTCAAGGCTTGTGGGTAATACATCACCTTTCCTTTTTTAAAGGTTGGTCAAAAGTAACCTTTGCTAAAGGTGGCTTTGAGGTTGAATCCAAGCACTTCCTAAGCATTTTTAGAATTCATATCCTCCACGTACATCTGTGTCATCTCGCTCGGAAAGAATAGGAACGTTCATAAGCAAAAACCAAGAATCCAAAGAGGGGCCTCGTGCCAACATTCAATTCCTTGGTTGTGTCATGTGTTGCTGCAAACAGCCACCAGAGGGCAGTGTCACAATACAGCCCACGACCACTCTCAAATGAGATGGAATGCCGCGTTTTGAATTAAAGTCCACTTTACTTCTCCAGTCAGGATCTCATCATGGCTTCTTAAGTGACCCTAAGATGACATCATATTGACTCTAAAGCTTATATAATAAAGTGTTTGGTCATACCTTAATGGTGAGCAGCATGGACAGAAACTTCCTCTTGTCTCCTATCAGCATGGCGTTGCTTATCAGCGGGAGGGCGTCCTTAACTGCATCTTCGGTAGGCACGGGAGGGATGTTCTCGCCCCCTGCTGTGATGATTAACTCTAAAACAAAAGCAGCACTGTTGAGAGAAGCTTTCTTAGGTACACATAGCTGCAAGTACAAATATGAAAACATTGACAAAGAAGATAGGGGTCACATTTGATTGACACTGACAAGAGAGATGTTCTATTGTGGTGGTATACTTTAAAGAACTTTAGAGTCAATCAAAACTCGGCAATATAATCCTTGTGAAGGCTGAATTTCTGGCAAAGCTTGAGTACTGGAATTCACTGGATTGTGTTGGTGTAATGAACATTGTGGCTCGTGATTATTAAATTGCGGGCGCTCCTGTTAAAAGCGGTAAAGAGCACTGTCCAATCAATGTCCATTTGTTCCAAACAGGTGCAGAGGTGTTTCTCATTCTCCAAGCATACCTTTAATTCGGCCGGTGATGAAGAGGAATCCATTGCGGTCGTGTTTGCCCAGGTCGCCAGAATGCAGCCAGCCCTCCGAATCCAGAGCTTCCTCAGTCTTCTCGGGCATGCCGAGGTAACCCATGAAGACGTGGCGACCCCAGAAGCAGATTTCGCCATTCCCCTCTGTGTCTGGTTTGTGCAACTTGGTCTTGCACCCCGGGATCTCCTTGCCGCAGCTGTAGGGAAAAATAACAATAAAAAATGGGTCACTTGATTCAATTTGTGATGATGAATCTTTTGAGTGTTAAACTCAAGACTCAATGGTTCGGATCCAGGCCGCAGATCCAGAGTTCGACACTGTTGGATTCAAAAGCCAACCCCAAATACCTTGTGATCCGAAAGGCATCTGGGATGGAGATGGTGTGAGGTCCGGTGCTCTCGCTCATGCCGTACAGCTCGTACAGCGGAATATCCAGGCTGAGAAAGAACTCCAGCGTGTCCCGGGTAATGGGGGCAGCACCCGTGTAGCACCTGTAGCAGCGGTCCAGGCCCAAAGCTTTGCGTACCTTCTTGAACACAAGTTTCTTGGCTATTTGGTAGCTCAACGGTGTGTGGTCCCCAGCTCTGGTCCTTCAAACGGAAACGCATCATTAAACAACCGCTCGAGTCTCCAAACATATCAGTCAAAGTCAAAATAAAGACTTAAAGATGTGTACATACTGATTCATCTTGCTCAAATTGGTGTGCAGACCCACGTCTTTGGCCCAGGCGGCAACTTTGCGGCGAACGGTGGACGATTTTGCTCCGGTGGCCTTCATCTTCTCTTGCATCTTCTCCCAGACACGTGGCACCCCCATGAAGGCTGTGGGCCGCACTTCCTTCATGGTGTTCACCAGCGAGCCCTGATAACAGCACAACATGTACACAAGGAGAAAAAAAAAATACTGTTTACAAACAAAGAAGTCATTTTTTGCTCAGCGTATCTGTGGCTATACTGTATTAGCTCATTAGTGCTCTCAATTGCTTGGAATTTTAAAAACAGCGTCAGAGCCTTCGCTACCCCTTCCAAGGAAAAAAAACACATTCTTGTTACGCAAGTAAAGTTTAGGTTAAACGGCAAGCAAGTGGGTAGGTGGTAACATTGGAAGGCATGCGCAAACATGGCTCACCTTAAGTGCATCTGGGTCGGCAAAGTGCGTAACCCCGCCAACTCTCATGGTCAGCCAGATGTCCACCATTTGGGCGGCGATGTGGCTGAGGGGGAGATAGCTGACCACCACCTCCTGGGACTCAGTGGCGTCTGTCAGGCGCACGTGCTTGCCGGTGGAGAGCGCAGTCCATGTCAGCTGGGGGCACAGAGACAAAAGATACAAGAGTGAGGCTCTATAAATAGGATGTTCATGATTTGACAGGTTTTCCATTTTTATTTATGTGAGGGCCACAGTTTACCCAAATCTTCCGTTTAGGATGCAGATTTTAAGTCTGGAATAATAGCAATGGATTACTTGTAATCTACTATCCTAAAAGTGCACTGATCGACTTGTGCTGTCTAGTATACAGACATTTAAATATGTCAGTACAGACAGTGTATTAAGTATACTCAGCTTCTATGAAAAATAAAGTACAGTAAAACTGCTCTACGATGAAACCGACATGGGCGAAAATACCCCCTAGTGTCAAAAAATATTCCTGCATTAAAGCCATTCCCTCTTTTTTGCTTCCCCCAACAACGAAATGTCCCCCTGTTGCGGAATACGAAATCCTTTTCTCCACCCTTGCCTCGCAATGAGGTTCACGACAACGATAACAAGCCTACCGCAAACGTCTAATCGGACGTTAGCCTGCCGCAGCCACCGCTACTGCTTAGCTAGGAAGCGGCAACAGCAACCACCACACATGCGCAGTAGTACAGGAAGTATTTGTTATTGTTAGCACCTGGTTAGAAATTTCACGAGTAGTTTCAGACACAGCATGAACGTTGCATTGCTTGGTATAAAATGGCTACAAAACGGACCTTTGCGCACCAAGGCTCTTCACAAGGGGTTAAGAAAAGCTTTAGCAACGATTTTTTTAAACCAACAAAGTGGAGTAATTAATATAAAACAAATGTATGTTAATGTTAAACAAAATCAAATAAGTGTATGCTCATACTTATGCGCTATTGGAATAAAAATAAAGAGTACACATGCACGTTTTTTGTGTGCGAGTGTGTTTACATCTGAGATAAAATTTGCTATAGTGAAAAGTCCCCCATTGTGTAAAATGTCTGGCTGCAAACATGATTTCATTGTAAAGGAGTTCAACTGTACAGTATTTAGCATTCGGTGTTCAAAATTCGATGCGTACACATGCTTTGAAAAGTAAGGTTTGTCTCTATTTCTCGTGCACGGGGACAATTTTACTTATGTACTTTTCGTTCCTGTATTCCTTCACACATATTCTCTTAATTTGTCCCAAACATACCAATTGTGTGACAATGAATTACTTGTAATCAGTACAAATAATGTCCGAAGTAAATAGCCTGAGGTGATCAGCTCTTCAGGTTTGCTGAAAAGAGTCAGCGTCGGACACGTGTGTGAATCTGGTGCTTACATTGTCATGGCTGAGCATGACACCCTTGGGCTGGCCGGTGGTTCCTGAGGTGTAGATGAGCGTGCAGCACTGATTAGGCTTCTGGCTAGCGATGATCTCATCAAGCGTAACGTCGGGAACGTCACGTCCCAGTTCCATGAACTCAGCCCACTGCATGAAGAGACAATGCTCAGTGTACTGCTGCTTCAACACACACACAAACACACACACACACACACCACATATCATTCATCTTTGTTGACTTACACTGTACAGATTTGGTCTCTTCTCTTTCAGCGCACCCTTGTACTGGACGATGGCTTTCAAGTGTGGCAAACTGTCTTGGACCTGAAGAATCTTCTGCAGCTGCTTGTGGTTCTCCACCACAATGATATTGGCCTTGCAGTTGTCCGCCACATACTGGCATGCCTCTGGGGAGTTGGTTGTGTAGATGCCCACAGCGAAGCCACTGCAACACACAAGGGTCGAAAATGTACCCTTTGTTTGTTTACAATTATTTGCAATCGGGGACTGTAAGGTGAAAAAAGTGGTGAGCACATCCGCATCACAGTTGGAACTGCTCAGGCCCTCCCGTGTGAACTTTCGTGAGTAGACTGCTCAACTTGCCTAAAGTCATCTAGGATAGGGTCCATCTTACTACCCACTCGTGACTGTATGGTAATTTAAGTTTCTGAATAAGCATTCTGTGTGTTCCGTGATATTTCAGTAGCGACTAATAGTTGATCTGGTGTTTGGTAACCAGCACAGTTGTTCCAAAGCTGTCCTTTACCAAATCAATAAGTCGTGGTGTTATTGAGCTGCAGGGTTTTGGTTTCTGGATGACGGCATGGAGCTCCTCGTGTTTCACCACAATACCATTTGAGGAAGTGCGACTAAAATCTGAAGCTTCTGTTCCGCCTTAATGCTCAATGTGTTTGTAATCGTGTGAACATGTTTTTTTAAAAGTTATTGTCTTCACGCAAGATAAAGAGGAAAAGATGGAGTTTTCACATATGTAGTCAGATATTGAAGCTCTTCTCTATTAAGTTACATTCAAAGACTGGCAACGACGATGATGGACAACTGAAAGAGTAGGACTAGATAAGTTTTTCGACTTCTTCCTACTCCCTTTGAGCAATACAAACTGGACTAAACCAAGTATTGATCTTTGATTTTGTTTTTGTGTCTTTCATGTTGGGTTTCTATGGTCAAATCAATCAATCAATCAATCAACTCACCCAGCCAAAATGGCTCCAATGTCAGCGATGAACCACTCAACAGAGTTGAAACCCAGGATACCCACGCCATGGTAACGCTGCAACCCAAGCTGTAGAAAGATATTAATACTGAATGGATAATGCACTTGAGATTGACATTTAGGGCCCGTGCGGTCGTCGTAAAAACGGGCGTAACTTCATTTTCGTGCCAGCGCATGTCAAGTCTAGTGCGTTTGGGGCCATGGTGCGTCTGTCCGGGCGTGCGCCCAAACTAAACAAACCTCGCCTCCGATGCACCTGCACTCTGCGTTTTCGTGCCGGGGCAATGGTCGACTTCGGCATGTTTGTTAATTTGATCTAAGTTGGACACCACATGTGGTCGAGGCGCGCTGGAAGTGACATCGTGCCTCGAAACACAACCCTCGCAACACCCAGCTTGTGAATTTGGACACAGCCTAAATTATCGACTGGCTAAAGGTTGGTCTATTTTGCAGCGCAGGTGGTCTAACATGATTTTGTTATATTTAATGCGCAGGAAGAGATATTCAGGTTGCACAGATGTGAGTGGTGGCCTTGTGGGATTTCATTCATAAAGCAGCGTGGGACAATACCTCTGAATCATTGTAGAAATCAATTTATTAAAAAATCGGCATCTTTGGACCTACTTTGATCGCGACCATCTTTTATATGGACTCCAACAAGTCTATTTATGCTTCTGCCATCTAGAACGTGTGCCTGTTCTTTGCTGAATTTGAATGAACTGAGAGTGAAATGAGAGGAGCTGCTTCCACTGGGGGCTCCCCGGTGGTCCAGTGGTTAGCGCGTCGAACTCAACAGTGTAGAGGTCATGGGTGCCTGCGTGGGTTTTCTCCGGGTACTCCAGTTTCCTCCCACATTCCAAAAACTTGTGTGGCAGGTTAATAAAACTCTCAAAATTGTCCCTAGGTGTGAGTGTGAGCGCGGATGGTTGTCTTTGTGTGTCCTGCGATTGGCTGGCAACCAGTTCTGGGTGTACCCCGCCTAGTTCCTGAAGACAACTGGGATAGGCTCCAGCAGGCCCCGCGACCCTTGTGAGGATAAGCGGATCAGAAAATGGATGGATGGGTGGATGCTTCCACTGACCAGGAAGCAAGCCAGCTGTGAACTCCCACAACGGCACAAACACCCCTTTTGACCTGAACATGTCTATGAAAATACCACAAAACCTTGGGCACGGTTTCGGTAAACTGGGCTTTGCAATTAGACTTGAACTGTCAATGAAAATAAGGCCCATTGCCACGTCTTATTATGATTTACCTGTCAACAAAAACAGTGCCTCATAGCAAGTTTGAACTGCAACTGGCTTTTCAGTAACAACAAGCAGATGAAATACAATAATAGGGCTGCTCTGCTCAAACAAAGCTTTAGGTTACAATGTGCAAAGTGTGCAACTTGACCTAGAAGATCGAATGAGCTCAATGCCACGTGACTTCAGCACACATGGGCGAGCAAAGAAATATTTCTGTCGAAGCACGCGTGACACGGTGTGTTCTTATAATAATCAAGATCACACTGTGACTTGCATTAAACAGAAAGTGAGGTTTCCGCACTGTGTGGCTTGCGGTTCAGTCAGACATCTTCATGCTGCATTGCTGCGTTTCCCACATCAACTTGACTGTTTAAGTCCACTGTCGCATGACGTTAAGAAAATGCTCGTTTCAAACAAGACTGAATAGTTGTGTGGTGTGTTTGAGACTAATGTGCAAAAATGTCATGATGGACTCAGCAATGAATTCTTTGTGATAAACAGGCAGACACTGAAATGCAGTATTTATCTAAAGTTCAGACCACTTTGAAAATTATCCACAGTAAAACCAAGAAAAGCCACCGTTCCATGGGTTGAAAAGTGGAAAACCACATGAATAAACAATTTTCTTCATACATCACCAAAAGAGCTTTTTGTGACTCCCGGCTCAATGATTAAGCAGTATTTGCCGGCATTTCTAATTCCATACCTTCAGGAAGCTCTTGGCTGCTACGCGACACGTCTCATAATATTGCTTGTAGTTCAAGCTCCTCTTCTGCTCGCCTTCTTTCCAGCTCACAGCAGTAAACTTGCCAAACTTCCTCACAGCTGATGTAAAGAGCTGATGGACTGTCAAGGGGGTCTCCGCAGCCAGGCCGCGGTCCTCCATGCGGAGCTTCACTTCGCCATCGGGTTGACTTGTCCACAAGTTGGACTTTGATGCTGCTGCTGGCACTGGCAGAGTGTCTGGGCGCTGGGCACTTACTGGAGGATGTGGAGATAGTATATGAGCCCAAAGAACTCTCAAGAACTAAAGATCACCCAGAAAAAAGACAAGACTGAATTAAATTGCTTAGCAACAGCTCCTTAAGATACTCACGTAGTACAGTAAATGCTGATTCACATTACCTTAATTAACTTATAGCGACTTGCCATTTTGTCACACTCAAAGCCTAGATAGAGGAGGTTGCTTTGCTCTTTTCAGGACAAAAAGATCAGTCAGTATATCGAGCTTTCCTTCCTAGAACATTAGAAATGGAACACCACAAATCCATCTCGTGCTTCTCAATAAAACCGAATGAAATGCAAACAGGGTGTACAGTGTTCACTATTGCCGTCGTGTCACCAGTGCACGATGGAAGTAACTGATAGCAAATTTATGGCCTAACACCCCTCCTAATCGGTGGATGAAGAAGCGCTAACAGGCAAATTCATTTTTCACCCTGCTACCCTCAACAGCTCCCCATTGATATTACCCCCCTTGTGAACGTTATTCTTCGTGATTGGCAATTGGCACTCAAATTTTGTAAAAAGATATACTCTAAATATGTTTCTGAACACTTTTCCCCTTTTGTACAAAGCCAGCAAAGGGTGTCCAAATGGACAATTTGAGGGCAGGAAGCAGATGTCACATCCTCAGGAAATGAGATCAATTGCCTGCTGAGTTCCCCATCGTGGCTCCAATACGAAGCTGTCACCCAGTTTTGAGTAGACTCTCTATCGTTACCATGAAACAGCCATAGCATTCATGCAAACATTCAAATGGTGTGGGTGTGTGTGTGTGTGTGTGTGGGAGCAGGGGGGCAAATGTAAACATTGTTCTTATCAGCACTGTGTGTGTTCTGTGTCACCTGTTTGTGTGTTCAAGGTGTGTTCATCGCAGCCCTCCAGGTTATTGGTGACAGCGTTGGGGTCAGCTGTCTTTTCTTCCCGTTCCACTGTAGGTTCCTCCTCAGAGGACTCACTGACGCAAAGAAGCAAGAAAAACACGTTACCAAACGGGAGGGTGCCGTCCCGAATTCAGCCGCCACATTCTTGACGAAAACCAGAAGCAGAAATTTGATCCGTGCACAAACACAGAACAACAAAATTACTAGTCAAACTGCTTAAATGAATTGCAAATATTTACTCTTTTTCAATTTGATGCCTGCAACACGTGGAGGGGAAAAAAAAAGCTATGGCACACGCATTTAGCATTTTGGCACATGACTTTTTCTCTTAATAATACTCAACAAGAGCTCAGGAACTGTGGACACTAATTGTTGAAGCTTTGTTGGTGTGCAATTTCAGTTGCACAGCAGGCCCAGGTCTCCGATGTCATATATATTGCACATCATAATACAATCATTATCACTGGGAGAACTTGCTTGTGCTAATGACGATCTGAATGACCCTTTTTCCGATTTAGTCCAGAGGACATCATGTCAATGAGCTTCAAAAACAATCTGAAATTCAGACTGAGCGGACCACAGCTCACGAATCCACTTGGAGTCAGAATCCTCTCAGGTAAGCTCGGGCTCACAGTCACCGGCTGCGAGTGTTGCTTAAATATGGCATAGTAGAGTTTGAACTTGCGCTAACAAACTCAGCTAGCTGCCTGAGCTCTTGTTGCATATCGAGTAAAGAAAAACTAATGGAACAAACTGTTTTAACAACGAACAGAGGTTTTCCAAAGTGTTCCTGAGTCCATACAGAAATATTTTTGAAATTCTTTCCAGTAACGCTTGACAGGGAAGAAGGTCATAGGCGTTCAATCTTTGTTTTTTGGCCGTGCTGGTTTGATGATATTCAGTATCTGAATGACTTACAATCGCATGTTAAGAAAGTTCTTCATCTGTTTCTACTATTTTCTCACGCAGGTTGTTTAAATTTGTGGAAGTTACCCCATCCTTGCTTGTGACAGACTTGCTTGTTCCTTTTACATCTTAGTGTCAGCTTTTTGGAACATAGTGCCGGCAAGAAATTCAAAATGACTGATTTTTTTCTTTTTTTTTTAATAACAGTTATTACATTTTTAGTGTATTTGATGGAATGCAAAAGCGTTAACAACACATACCAACTTCATTTTCATGGCAATTTGATTTTTTTTTTTTCCCCAAATATAATCTCATTCAAAAGCTGTAAATTGCTGTGCTAGCAGATGCTCAAAGTGCCAGGCTGGCTAATACCGACTTAGTCAGATAAAATAACTGTGAACTTGGCAGGCTATGTTATCTACTATCGCTCAAAGCTGGGCGTTACTGGCAACATGTTTCCACATATTGTCAATGTAGTCCGCTTGAAGTAATCCCGGTGTATATTCAGCCCTGCGAACAACCACACGCGAGATGCAGCTCTGTGTCCGTCAGTTGTCAGCGAAACGGGAGTCCGTGAGTGACGGGCTGACAGAATGCCCGTCCGGCTCTGCTGTATACCTACATTGATTCAACCCTTTCATGCAAGAATTATTAAAACCTACACTGCATCGGGATTTTGAGAGTTTTTCTTTTGGGATAAGTTCATGTCAGTGAGAGGTAACTTTTGAATAGAAAATGACTGATTTTTTTCTTTTTTTTTTAATAACAGTTATTACATTTTTAGTGTATTTGATGGAATGCAAAAGCGTTACAACACATACCAACTTCATTTTCATGGCAATTTGATTTTTTTTTTCCCCCAAATATAATCTCATTCAAAAGCTGTAAAATGCTGTGCTAGCATCTGATGCTCAAAGTGCCAGGCTGGCTAATACCGACTTAGTGAGATAAAATGACTGTGAACTTGGCAGGCTATGTTATCTACTATCGGTCAAAGCTGGGCGTTTCTAGCAACATGTTTCCACATATTGTCAATGTAGTCCGCTTGAAGTAATCCCGGTGTATATTCAGCCCTGCGAACAACCACACGCGAGATGCAGCTCTGTGTCCGTCAGTTGTCAGCGAAACGGGAGTCCGTGAGTGACGGGCTGACAGAATGCCCGTCCGGCTCTGCTGTATACCTACATTGATTCAACCCTTTCATGCAAGAATTATTAAAACCTACACTGCATCGGGATTTTGAGAGTTTTTCTTATGGGATAAGTTCATGTCGGTGAGAGGTAACTTTTGAATAGCTGTCCAGTGTGGTAGCCACTGTCCCGGAAAGGGTTAAGACAAAGGATAACTTACCGGTAAGTTAAAGATGAACAACAAAAAATGACTATCAAATCTGGTTTTGTGGATAAAACTGTCAATGTATTGAGAACTAAAAACTCATTTCATCAAGGTGTGTGTATGGTGTACATACTTGGCCATATCCAAAACATGATCAAGGGCTGCTGAATTGGTGCCTGAACTACAGGTAGAGTCACTGAAGGCAACAGAGTGAGGCTGCTGAAGCACGCCGGCCTCGGACATGGTATTGGGCTCACACACGGTCACTGCAAGACAAGGAAGCACAGAAGGTAACGCTGTACGTCACTTAGATGAAAACAAAGCTTATCCTAATGTTGGTTGAGTTCAGTGGAAATCTCTATCTGATAACATCTCTCCAGTGACCCAAGCAGCGCTTGACATCCTGATAAAAAGAAAATTAAACAATTGTTATTTTATTTTTGTATCAAGTTACTGTAATACAGCCCCCAAAACATTTTTCGACATGGTGTTGAAACCTTGCTCCCCTACTCTAATTACATGACACTTGACTGTAGTACACACAAGACTAGCACCTGAGTGTTTTCGACACCAGGCCAGTGACTTTTCTAGCCAAGGTTATTTTGACATCTGTGGCACAGTTTTCCGTGTCAAATCTTACATAATGACCCATTCATTCTGGATAAGGCAGGGGTGGGAAGCACATCTGCCTCGTGGATTTGACCTTTCTGTGTACACTTGGTCAATGCAATGTTTAAAACAAACCTTGTTTTTTGGCATACAAAGGCAACCTTTTGATTGATTCTAGTATCAAACATACAAACGCAAGCAAAGCTGATGATCTGCATTCCAATTATGCCGTTTGCCATCGCCTCGACGCAGGAAATGCAATTTCAGTTGCACAGCAGGCCCAGGTCTCCGATGTAATAATACAATCATTATCACTGGGAGAACTTGCTTGTGCTAATGACGATCTGAATGACCCTTTTTCCGATTTAGTCCAGAGGACATCATGTCAATGAGCTTCAAAAACAATCTGAAATTCAGACTGAGCGGACCACAGCTCACGAATCCACTTGGAGTCAGAATCCTCTCAGGTAAGCTCGGGCTCACAGTCACCGGCTGCGAGTGTTGCTTAAATATGGCATAGTAGAGTTTGAACTTGCGCTAACAAACTCAGCTAGCTGCCTGAGCTCTTGTTGCATATCGAGTAAAGAAAAACTAATGGAACAAACTGTTTTAACAACGAACAGAGGTTTTCCAAAGTGTTCCTGAGTCCATACAGAAATATTTTTGAAATTCTTTCCAGTAACGCTTGACAGGGAAGAAGGTCATAGGCGTTCAATCTTTGTTTTTTGGCCGTGCTGGTTTGATGATATTCAGTATCTGAATGACTTACAATCGCATGTTAAGAAAGTTCTTCATCTGTTTCTACTATTTTCTCACGCAGGTTGTTTAAATTTGTGGAAGTTACCCCATCCTTGCTTGTGACAGACTTGCTTGTTCCTTTTACATCTTAGTGTCAGCTTTTTGGAACATAGTGCCGGCAAGAAATTCTAAATGAGTGATTTTTTTTTTTTTTTAAATAACAGTTATTACATTTTTAGTGTATTTGATGGAATGCAAAAGCGTTACAACACATACCAACTTCATTTTCATGGCAATTTGATTTTTTTTTTCCCCCAAATATAATCTCATTCAAAAGCTGTAAAATGCTGTGCTAGCATCTGATGCTCAAAGTGCCAGGCTGGCTAATACCGACTTAGTGAGATAAAATGACTGTGAACTTGGCAGGCTATGTTATCTACTATCGGTCAAAGCTGGGCGTTTCTAGCAACATGTTTCCACATATTGTCAATGTAGTCCGCTTGAAGTAATCCCGGTGTATATTCAGCCCTGCGAACAACCACACGCGAGATGCAGCTCTGTGTCCGTCAGTTGTCAGCGAAACGGGAGTCCGTGAGTGACGGGCTGACAGAATGCCCGTCCGGCTCTGCTGTATACCTACATTGATTCAACCCTTTCATGCAAGAATTATTAAAACCTACACTGCATCGGGATTTTGAGAGTTTTTCTTTTGGGATAAGTTCATGTCAGTGAGAGGTAACTTTTGAATAGCTGTCCAGTGTGGTAGCCACTGTCCCGGAAAGGGTTAAGACAAAGGATAACTTACCGGTAAGTTAAAGATGAACAACAAAAAATGACTATCAAATCTGGTTTTGTGGATAAAACTGTCAATGTATTGAGAACTAAAAACTCATTTCATCAAGGTGTGTGTATGGTGTACATACTTGGCCATATCCAAAACATGATCAAGGGCTGCTGAATTGGTGCCTGAACTACAGGTAGAGTCACTGAAGGCAACAGAGTGAGGCTGCTGAAGCACGCCGGCCTCGGACATGGTATTGGGCTCACACACGGTCACTGCAAGACAAGGAAGCACAGAAGGTAACGCTGTACGTCACTTAGATGAAAACAAAGCTTATCCTAATGTTGGTTGAGTTCAGTGGAAATCTCTATCTGATAACATCTCTCCAGTGACCCAAGCAGAGCTTGACATCCTAATAAAAAGAAAATTAAACAATTGTTATTTTATTTTTGTACCAAGTTACTGCAATACAGCCCCCAAAACATTTTACGACATGGTGTTGAAACCTTGCTCCCCTACTCTAATTACATGACACTTGACTGTAGTACACACAAGACTAGCACCTGAGTGTTTTCGACACCAGGCCAGTGACTTTTCTAGCCAAGGTTATTTTGACATCTGTGGCACAGTTTTCCGTGTCAAATCTTACATAATGACCCATTCATTCTGGATAAGGCAGGGGTGGGAAGCACATCTGCCTCGTGGATTTGACCTTTCTGTGTACACTTGGTCAATGCAATGTTTAAAACAAACCTTGTTTTTTGGAATCAAAAGGCAACCTTTTGATTGATTCTAGTATCAAACATACAAACGCAAGCAAAGCTGATGATCTGCATTCCAATTATGCCGTTTGCCATCGCCTCGACGCAGGAAATCGATACTCCTTAAAAATTCTTTCAGCACAGTGTTGTTGCCCTGGCCCCTGCGCTCTCTTGAGTATAATTCAGAACATCGGTCATCTGCTGGCCTGTTTCAACAGAAAGGTGCATGAAAACATAACCGCGGCCTTGTCTGCCTTTGGTGACCTGTTGCCCAGTTATGACTGGTCTGTCAGGACAGCTGGACTTGCGTGAACACGAGGTCGGAGAGCAGAGGCTAAATATTTTTATGTCATTCAACAACACTAGCATCACATGGCAATTGTACAACACAGTCACATGACAGACAAGCAGGGAGCTGACCTTATGTCCACCCACTCTTGATGCGATATGAGTCAAGGGTTCTGATACTGTTCATTGTTTATGCAAAGCAAATGTAAAATGTCTATTTATTTTCCAATGCGGAAGTAGAGTCGATGAGGTTGGACTTTGTTCAGCAACATTTTAAAAAGGAACTTGCGTTGAAGGTGGGATTGTGGTTTTGGCATCACTCTGACCTTGATCGGTGTTCCTCATGTCAAATGGTAAACATCAACTTCTGTCAGTGAAAAAATAAATTTGCCACAGTAAATATGATTCACAGGCCTTCAACCACACTTTCCTAAAAGCAATCTCATTATCATATAGACATGACCAAAGGTATTCTTCCCATCTTGCCAGTTTACTGGAAACACATATTGGATGAAATATGGGCTTCTTTTCAATTTCAACTTCTCTGCAAGCAAAAGTTGACAAACTGACAGTGACATGATTCCAATAAACGAGCAATTTGAGCAAAGCAGCGGACATGGCTGTTCTCTTGTTGTAACAGTTGGCGTGACATACTGAACAAAACCAAATTCTTCTCGAGCTGCTCAAAACTCAAATCTGTTTTCCTCCAATTCAACTCTTATTACATCACAGTGAAACTCAGCTGGGTTATCATCAAATATTCAAGATCAGAGATATGACCACAGCGCTCTCTAGAGATTTCTCACGCTTTGTCCAAGTTTGCAACCAGTTCCCTCTTCGCTGTCTTTGTCGTCTTTTAATTCATCATTATACATTTGATCAACCGTCAGAATCAAGTACACTCGGAGATCCTAAATCCGGTCCTCGAGAGCCACTACCCTGCCTGTTTTAGTTGTCTCTCTCTTCCAACACACCCGATTCAAATGATCCGAATTGTTATCAGTCTTATCAAAGCTTGCTGATCATTTGAACCACATGACTGCTTTTTATGTGTTGTGCATCTGTTCTGCGTGATGGCTGATGGAGACCTTTAACACATCATCTCCTTGATGTCTGCAAAAGAGGCGGTCATTTGAATTGACAACAAGTGCCGGCTGGTGGGTTACACCCATGCTGCACTTGACGAAATCTCCACGTGTCATTGACAGAATGATTGCCCTATACGAATCGTGTTTCTCCGTAATACTGAATGTTCAGCAACAAAGCTGCACACATTCTCATCAGGCAAAAATAAAAAGATGATTACACGTACACTTCAAAATGAAAATCAAGGAAATCGCACA